GTGTGGTGAACCTCAAGCTAAGAAATTAGAACAGGTTTAACTTTCCGACAGTACAATGAAACGTCGAATTGATGAAATGAGTGAAGATATCCTGGAACAAATGATAACAGAGATGAAAGAAAGCGGGCCTTTTGCAATACAACTCAACGAGTCAACTGATGTGGCATAATGTTCGCAACATGTCTTCATTCGATGTGTGATGAAAGGCTGTTTGAAGAAGGAATTTCTTTCCTCAGAACCTCTAGCAAGAACCACTCGTGGAGAAGATGTCCTCAACACAGTTCATAGTTTCTTCCAAAAGCATAGTTTGCAATTGGCAAACTTAGTTTGACCGTGTACTGATAGAACACCCTCAATGCTTGGTGTTCACTCAGGGTTTGAAGCCCGCGTCAAGCGAGTTGCATTACACGTCACGTTCACGTATTGTGGGGTCTGCAATAGTCAGGTGGTTAGGGCGCTCGACTCGCAATCTGCAGGTCGCGGGTTCGAATCCCCGTCCCATCAAATATGCTCGCCCTTTCAGCATTAGGGCGTTATAATGTGACGGTCAATCCCACTATTCGTTGATAAAAGAGTAGCCCAAGAGTTGGCGGTGGGCGGTGATGACTAGCTGCCTTCCTTCTAGTCTTTCACTGCTAAATTATGGACGGCTAGGGCAGATAGCCCTCGTGTAGCTTTGCGCGAAATTCAAGCAAACAAACAAATCACGTATTGTGTTACCATAGGTACATTTTAGGTGTGAAAACGCTCCCAGTCGGCCTTCTGGAGATCTTCCACAACATTGTGAAGATAGTGAATCAAATTCGCGGGAACGTTCTGAATTTGAGAATCTTCAAGGTCCTGTGAAGAAGTCGGAGCTGATTTTTCGGTTCTCCTTCATCCCACAGACGTACGATACTTATCTCATGGTAAAGCCTTAAATTGCGTATTTGAGCTGAAGGGCCAGATTGCAATGTTTCTTGAAAGATGTCAATTCAGCAATAAAAGCGTTGAAGTTATGCGCATCGGACAACTTTTAACTAACCACTAAAAGTACACTAAGTAATTATTTTTCTTCTCAAAATGTTCTAATAATTTACGTTTTCTGATAATTCCAAATAATTTTGATTTGCCACTTTTGTTCTTAAGTTAACTTCTTTTCCACTTGACACCGTAGAGGCGACAACCATTTCAAGAAACATACTGATATTACCAGTAATCACTCTTTGCTCATATAACTGTAGTTTCCAAAAATAGCCAGCCACTATATATTGGACTATGAGCATGTTTGTCAACTTACCTGAAGCGATAGATTAAGATACACCAATTTCAAGATAAACTGGTTGTCTTGCAGTTTTCTGGGAAAATCCTTTCCCTTTTATTAAATCCTTCTGAACCTAATACTACATTATCCATAGTTATAGATCGATAAATTACCGAGAAGTCTTTCGTTGTACTTCTCCCTACCTTATTGAAGAGACAGATTGCGCTGTACAGCTGGCAGTGTTTATTCATTCTATTGAAGATATATTTGGTACAATGTTTAGCATTTTTCTGTGACTACATAAATTATGATAAACACTGTTGGAAAATTTTTGCAACAGTGTTTATCATAATTTATGTAGTCACAGAAAAATGCTAAACATTGTACCAAATATATCTTCAATAGAATGAATAAACACTGCCAGCTGTACAGCGCAATCTGTCTCTTCAATAAGGTAGGGAGAAGTACAACGTAAGACTTCTCAGTAATTTATCGATCTATAACTATGGATAATGTAGTATTAGGTTCAGAAGGATTTAATATTTTTTTAATTTTCTTTCCGTGAAATTATTTTCTTGTGAGTTAGCTATGAATCACCTGTCTCAGTGGAAAACCAGATATCCAGATTAAAATATTTAAATGATATTGTATAGGTACTATAGTAAAATGATAAACTAGAATGGTGAATGAAGATGATTTAAACTTTTAAAGAAAAATCAAGCTAATTGAAAGATATAAAATCTAGAAGATTGGAACTTTTTCTGCAACATTGCTGTTAGTCGTGTCAAGTCCACCAAGATTTCGTTGGAAACTTTTATAGATCTTCTTTTCTATAACGTTGCAAAATGTTTTATTTTAAGCTGATGTGTTTATGCTACTTAATGTTGTTCATATAATCAATATATTTTAATAATTCAAATGTAGTATCTGGTACTGTGGCATCAAACAACAAAAGAGTTAGAGTACAAGAAAGGGTTGAGTATGTTACGTTAAGCCACTCAGTAGCACAGCGGTATGTCTGCGTACTTACAACGCTAGAAACCGGGTTTCGATACCCGTGGTCATCAGAGCACAGATAGTCCATTGTGTAGCTTTGTGCATTATTACAAACAAACAAACAAACACTGTTACGTTAAAACAATTTTGAATATGCAAACCAGCAAAGCAAATATCACACTGGGAGATTTTGACATTGTTTAACATTACGTCGATAGTGTAATACCATCGAAAGTTGATCGCTTTTGGTGAGAGTATGTAACAACTTGGGAACATAGAACGAAACGATGTGATGGGGCACCCAAATCGTTTAATATAACGTACTTCGTCTCTGTACTACATGTGAAATTTGTTTTTATGGATAAATATTTCTTTCTAATGAGATTTTGGTGTAAGGTAGCAGTAACACCTAGATTGTTAAATTGTAAGGTAGCAGTAACACCTAGATTGTTAAATTGTAAGGTAGCAG